GTCATGCAATGCATTGTTGTAGTATGCATGATTTTGCTGGCATTATTTCTTACTGTACTTGAATTTTGTGTGTATTTTCAACATATTTACTCATATGCGTACTTAATTAATGACTAACGCTGAAGTCTAATGAAAGCCGTTATTTTGGTACTTGCAGTAAAAATGAAAACATTGTGTATAGCACCAGCACCGTAATGCCATAAAAAATGTGCAACATGCAGTCGACATAGTGCAACAAACGGTAGCAAAGTGCTTAAATTCATATAATGTATGTATGTATGTACRTACATCCATGTATGTACGAGTACGAGTATACGCATTATTTAAAACATTCTGAAGCCCTTAGTCGCCTATTGCACTTATCAGTTTCAAAGTAAATGTCCATTATTCATGAATTTATTTATATTTTCTTCCCGCTTGTTGAAAAAGTAAAGACATTTTTGGTTGTTTAATGTTTTTTCCAGGAATGTCATTAAAAACAAACAAAAAACTTTCGACATTGCACCATAATGCAGTTGCAACAGCTATAAAATAGTATTGCTTAAGGTAATAAAGTCAGTTGCAGCGCTTGTGTAGCTTTTGTAATGCAACAAATGCATGCTCTGATTATAATCTGGTATAATTATGTGACKTAACACAACACAAAGTAGTTGTATATAGTATATTTTTTTTACTTTTCAAAATTAAATATTTTCGAAATTTTATATTCGTAAAATTTACTGTTTTTTATGTCCAAACATAACTAATTTCAAAAAAATATATTAAATGTCAATAATATCTCATTAATTTATTATAACGGTAGCGAATGAGTTGATAGGGTTATATCCACTTGCAAATCTTAAAAAATGCATTTTTGAGATTTTTTTTAAGGGATAAAAAGGTTTCCTCGGTTAGAAAATAGCCTTTTTCAACTTTTTTGTCATATAAAAAATTAAATATTTTATGGCAAACGTACACTGTTAACAAAAAAAATCTGAAATTTTTGGCAGACATGTTTACAAAAAAAATGAAAATTTCACGAATTTTTTTTTTTCAAACAGTTGCAATCGGAAAAATCTTTCGTCCAAGTCCTTAACAATTTATCTCAAATACCTGTGTCAAATTTTATGAAGATCGACTGAGTAGCTCTCGAAAAATCATGCCAACCCACTTCTGAAACATAGTTTCGAGAAAAACGTGTTTAAAGACGGCGCACAAGTTCTCAAGGCTCTATCTCCAAAATTATTACTCGAAACCACTTAAAAATTTAAGACAATATTCTAGAGGTGTTGTGGAATTTAATAAGACAATAAAAACGATATTTTGAAACCCATATAACCCCATAAGAAGCATTTTATGTACATAATTAGAAAATTGATGAAAATTTTTAGATTCCCTTGATTCAGTGGCCGATCCCCAATAGATATACAGAAAGTATTTGGAGGTTACGAAGATTTTTCTTCTTAAAATTATCTCAAATGCAAATAAAATATTATTACTATAGATGAATATAGTTAATGGTCGGAATACTAGTAAAAACTTTGAGTTTTGACAAAATAGAGGCCTCCCAAACAATAAAAAAAAAATTTACATTTCAGAGGATTAAGAAATCGAAATTGTTATCAAATTTATTTTTCCTTCGATATTTTTCTTCTTTATTGGTTAAGACCCCACTTACGGCTTGTTGCTTCGATCTGCACCTTAAAAATATAAACAAATATGTATCTAAGGTGGCGTAAAAATTTCAAATCGATCAGTTCAACTGTTTCGAAGATTTTTTTTTTCAACAATTCTGAAAGAAGTGTTTCGAGAAAACATCGTTTAATGTTTAGGGAGCCAATTACACTAAGTAATTGAAACTTTCAAGTTTTATTGTATGGGTTAGGACAGTCCAAAATTCGGTGAAAAATCTTTTGGAATTACAGTCGAATATCGAAGCTCTCTTAAAAAAGGTGATTCCGAAACCAAAGTGGATATAACCACTTAATGGGTTGGGCAGTCTCAAAGTCGGCAAAATTAGTTAAAAAAAAGGTTCTGGAATTATGGTCGCCTTGTAAAGAGAGACTCTCTCGAAAACGGTGATTCCCAAAACTTATATAATTTCTTTGGTATTGAGATTTGCACACTTATATACATATATATGTATATATACATATATATATGTATGTACATATATATTGTATGTATAAAAAAGCCTGAAAATAAGAAATTCGCTTCATTTTTCATACTCTCGGAATAAATTGTATATGAAAAATTCTTAARAAWGAATTCYTGCAATAAAATTCAAATGTGCGTGCTYATATTCATGTATAAATGCAYGTTCGTATGTAYRTACATATGTATATGATTGCACAAATGCATAAACCTATAAATAAAAAAAATATCTTAAAAGAAGTCGGAAGAAAATTATTACGCACTAAAAAGCTCAAACAAGTCACACATGCAGTGAAAAACAAACATACATACATACAAGCATATGCAATATACAATTGTAAAAAATGTTTGTATGTATGCTGTTGTATGAGTTATTTCCAACGCTTGTGCATCTAATTAAATGCGGAAGACCCCCAAAAAAAGCTGTACGCGTCTACAAGCGTGCATGTACATATGTATGTATGTTTATGCTTACAATAATGTGCAGAGCACATATTTATAAAAGCAATCAAATAGACGCAACAACGCACATAGCCCCAAAAATAAAAGTAGGTCACCGGCGCACGCTCGCGTCATATTTAGTGGCGCGCAACCTAGAAACGCACAAAGTACAGCGACGAAGCGCAGCACAATACCACACATAGAAACACTTTACTAATGTGCATAAGTTTGTTTGTGCATTTGTAGCAATCAGCTAGACAGTCAGTCCGCACAAGCTAGCTAGCGAGCTAGCCGACAACGTCTATATCAGTTGATGGTACTGCGATTACAAGCTCCAGCGCATTGTAAGTGKGGTTGTATGCCAGCAAGTACATGCTTACATACATACGTACAAACATATCTACAATTTTAGTACTTGTATGTGCGTTTGTGTTCTGACGAGCATGCTTACATCGTTTGAGTAGGTAGTCGAAAAATAGCTCAGATGTGCAAGCGCTTTCCTAGCTAGCTAGCTGACAGATAATGCATAACATAGTAAAATAAAATAAAATTAGAGCAACACTGCATGAGKAAAATGGAGCAGTGTGGTTGTAGCAAATGTTATTTTTGTTTTATTAGAGACAAAAATATGCAGTCGTCAATTTATGTATRCTGCAACATACGCATAAATGTTTCAATGAACACACATGCATACATACATACATTCATATTATATATGATATTCATATTATTCATATTATATATGAATATATGTATTTATATTGTGTATGTATAAAATATATAGTGAAGCTTTTGTATATTAATTTGCGCATATACCATGTACTGAGCTCACTCCATAGCGCCTAACCTTACGTTTTTTGATTATTTAGCGAACATAAGTTCTAATTACTATACTTATATAGTATATATAATATATAATTAAAATATTTGCAATCTTAAAATGTAAAAATATTTAAAAATATCAAAAAAGACGCTAAAGGTACTTGGTAGAACTGGAACTTATAGTAAAAMCTTCACTGTTATCTTGAGCCCCTCACTGATAGGTTATAGCCTTCAAGCTTTCGTTGTAAGAACATGTCAGCTTAAAATACACTTAAAGGGTTAAATCCATTTGTGAATTAAAAAAAATATGGAATTTTGCTAGACAAATTATCGAATATTTGTAGTTTCGAAAATTTGATACTGATCCGATGAGAAAACTTCGGAGATACTTTAGACAAAAACGCACCCCGAAATTGTTATAAATTTCCGAGTAAATGATATTTCAAAAAGAKGTATTTTGCTAAGTTGGTAAGACTGTCCTTAATTACTATGTTAAATATGAGCGTGATCTGTCAACCAGTTTGTTTACASCAGCTGCTTAAGTCRGCACACCTCAGTAGTATGATTTACAATGGATAAAGATAATTGTGGAGAGATCGTTAATGACATGCCTTCGACCTCTTCAACTGATGAAAATATTAAAAAAAAGGGAAGGATATGGATATGGCGCTTGAAAATCATGGGGTCAATGAAGTTTTAAAAAAATGGCATTCGAATGATATAGACGGATATTTTGGGTATGAAAGCTTATTTTTTTCAAAAAGACCGAATTTAAAGCCAAAAACACAATGAATACCATCTTTCAACCACCGTATTCACCAGATTTGGTTCCGTGTGATTTTTTCTTGATTCCCAAAGTATATTTGCAGCTCGGTTGAAACCGTTTTCAGTCGATCGAAGAGATAAACAAAACTCGCTGAAGAATCTGAAGCTCATACAAGAGGACTGGCTTAAGTGTATTTCGGGGAATACTTTAAAGGCGACAAAATAAATATTGATGATTAATTAAGTAATTTGCGGCTGGACTGATCGACTTGAAAGCTGCACATGATCTCTTTAGGTACATTTGTCAGGTATTGATCGGATAAATTTTGAATTATAATTTCTATAATTCTTAAGCCATTCTGAAGTGTAAAGTTTATACAAACAGAAATTTTTGGAAATCAAAATTTTGACTGACATAAAACCTTAAGGGAATTCAAAACTTTATTCAGTTGGCCCTSTCCAACGAAAAGGCTGTCTGCTTCAGAACGTAAAACTTCAAACGGATTTACCTCGAAACTTCATCATCACAAATATGAAATTGTCTTTTTAATATTAATGCTCTTTATATATGTAGATAAAMAAAATAACGAACATAACATACTGCATTAGCAAARCTACAATACAAAAACATTTTAAAGGAAACCCAAATATTGGAAAGGAATAACAGAACAATCTCTTCATCAGCGATTATTTCTTTATTGACAATATAAAAATTCATCATCATTATACATGAATTTTAATAATTTAATTTTTTTAATTTTTAAAGTGTTTTTTTTTATTTTTAAATTTTTTTATTTTTTMTTTTTTTCTTTTTTTTTTAACAATATTTTATCACTCACCTTTTTTATTTAATTGTAATCGCCGTGAAGTCAAATCCTTGTCGCCTTGTCAAATACACTGACGACTGTTCCAAAATCCGTTAATTTTCCAAATGTGTAAAGTCCAAAATAGTTTTGTTTTTTGTTATTTTTATATTTTTATGTTTCTTAAAACTTGCTGTAGCCACAAACTGACACTTTTAATTTATATTTCTCACTATTTTTTCTTTCTCTAATGATTCGAAATTTGTATTCATTTATGTTTTGTCTTTATGTTGCGCTTTTTGTTTTATCAAAAAACCGAAACGAAATTTTTATGCAAACTGACACACACAAACACACACAAATTACACACAGTGTTCGCGGAAAAGAAGCTGTTGCTGTTGCTGTTGCTGTTGCTGTTGCTTTTGCTGCTTGAATTAGTATTGTTGTTGTTGTAAAATTTTGCAACTTTGCATTACTATTGCATTTGTTGTTGTTGTTACTTATTGCATTGCTGCGTTCGCTGTGGTTGTTGTTAACGGTATTGTGATAGTTGTTGTTGTTGTTGTGTATTAGTATTGCTGCTTGTCCAAACCAATAATTTTGAATATGTTTCCAATTTGTTTACGTTTTTCTCTTAAATTTGATTTTGCGTTTGTTGTTGCCGGTTTCCCCTTTAGCTACTTCTCTCCGCGCGTTGGCTGCTTACTATGTGCCTCTACGTTCCGTTGGCTCTTTTTAAGAGGGGGTACTTGACTTTTTGTATTTACTTTTTTATTGTTGTCACTACAGTGTGTGTATTAAATTTGTATACTCTTTTGCTACAGTGTCTACAATTTACATTTTATCTACACTGTAAAAAATTCACAACGTTTTACACGGACGTAAAATTTTTACTTTAATTTTAATTTTTTTTTAATTTAATGAAATATTCAGCTTTTTGTTTAGTTATGAAATTTTCATTCTAAGTATACTTTTAGCTCAATTGCGCAATTTACATACATACATTAATTGTAATAAGCCGAAATATTTAATTTTTAATTTAATTTTTTTTTTCAACTAAATGCCTTTTCCATATTATATATTGTACATATATACGCTTTAATAGTTAATAAGTAATAGCAATATATTTTTTGATATTTATTTTTATATTATATGTATGTTGTATATGCATAAAATTATTATTTTGCTTTTTAGGTATATTTTATACGTACGAAATATGTATTTTTGCTTACGTCATTAAAAAATTTTGTGTGTATTTTACCAAAATAGTTTCTTTTTTTTTTGCTTTTAATTTTTATAATTTCATTAGAATTGTATGTTTTTGTTTTTATTTATTTTTCTCGTTTAATATCAAACACTATATATACTTTAGCTTGATTTATTTTTTGTTTTGTGCCAAACACAGTTTTGCCAATTTTGAAAAAAGTATTTTATAAAATTTCCATTAATTTTTTATTTGCAAATTTATTCACCGCCATTATTCAGCTTTCAATTGTTATTGTTTTGCATAGATTTTCATAAAAGATTTTCAAGTGCGCTCGTATTATCGACATTTTGCTGCACTTCCATTTTTTCGATTTGCCGCCAAAAAAATTCTTTTCAGTTATAAATATTTATATATTTTTTATTTGTGCCAATGTTCACTCAAATACGTATGCACAAGCACTATTCAGACGAAAATCTGTAATGGAAAGGGAAATATGGGAGGTTAGCAAATATATCTTTTCAGCGAAAAGTTTTCATTTAAAAAATATTATGTTTTCTAAATTTCTTACAAGATATATAAGATTCTAAAATAAGTCTTATGCATTAAAAATTTATTTTAAAGTAATTAGAATACTTTTGTACATTTAATTTAAAAAAATTTTTTTTTTTTTGCTTTGAGGGGTTATATGGTTTTACGGGTTTCAAAAAATCATTTTTGTTTATTATTTTAATTCTACAACACCTTTAGAATATTGTCCTAAATTTTCAAGTTCAAGTGTAATAGTTTTGGAGATACAGCCTTGAGAACTTGTGTGCTCGAGGCTAGCTTGGCTGAGTGCGCCGTCTTTAAACGCGTTTTTCTCGAAACTGTGTTTTTGAAGTCAGTTAGCAAGATTTCTCGAGAACTACTCAACCGATSTTCATGAAATTTTGCACAGATACAACTCTTAAGAACTTGGGCTGAGTGATTTTTTTTCGATTACTATTRTTTGAAAAAAWTCGCGAAATTTTCACTGAAAATTTATTTTTTTTGTAAAAACGTTTGCCAAAGAATACAGTTTTCAGTTTGTTTCCTTCGTCCAAGTTCTAAGTTGAGGTTTTAACTAAAACACGTATTTTTTCATATTAGAATATTAGGGGATCCTGTAGTTAGTTCTTCTGAAAACGCGGGCACACCTTTTTTCCGAGGAGAAATGTCGTCGCAATGACGAAATTAAAATATTTTTTTCCAAAAATTTCAGAATTTCTTTATTAATATGTAGTGTATGTTTATATCAATAAAAGAATCTCATAAAATATTTAATTTTTTATCCGGGAAAAAATTCTTCAAAAACGGCTGTTTTTATCCGAGGAAACCCATGTAACCCCTTAAGGGAACATATTTTATTTTTTAAGGAATATTGGTACTTATATGGTATTCTTACAGCAGATAGCATAAATCTAATTAAGAACTATAAAAGAATTAGCAAGGATATGCTTTTCAGAACCTATTGTATATAATATATTTATAATATAATCTATTTCTTAATCCTTAAAATATTATACAGATCTGGCCATTAAAATAATATAATTTTCTTAATTGCCGACCGATTTATGGACTTTTCTGCATTGTTGAAACGTTACTTAAAGTACCGAGAAACGCTATTAAAACAAGGTTTTCTTCAAACTTCATCTATCACCTTATAAGCCTTTAAAGCTTCCGTTACCATACAAACTGACCGATCAAAATCTAGTTCTCATATGAAAAACGTTTTTATTTGATAAGATATCTTCACGGAATTTRGCAGAGAATATTGTTAAAGGCGAAGCTACAATCTCCGTGTATATTGTCYGGATCGAACAGCTATAGCATATAGTTTCCATATAAACTGACCGATCAGAATCAAGTGCTTGTATGGAAAGYTTTTCCATATGACSAGATATCTTAACGAAATTTGGCATATATTACATATGATTGTACAATGAAAGACTTCAATCTCCGAAAATATTGTTCAGATCAATACAAACAGACACAGACACAGACACATTAAAACCGAGATAAAAATCTTTGTATACCCTTTTGTTACCTAAGAAATGCATTTATGAAGGGTATTTTAGGCTCGGACAACCATTTTGGCATTTTTTGGTTGTAATTTCCAAATATGTTGCATTTTATCCAAAGTGGTTTTTTTCATGAAGAATTTCTCCATATAGTATGGAAACCAWTTATCCATTAGATATTATTCGTATTTTGTTTCTTTGTATTACTTTGCAGCTCATTCCATCTAAATTTTATATYAGTGGCCACAATTTATTAATTTTGTGGCCACAAGAACAAATGGGCACCAACATTGGGAACACTATCGAGTTTTTAATTATGCAAAACTGCATCCAAACCAACTACAAATGCAAAATTAGAAAGGAAGAATACACAAAACGCCCTGACTTGCATGGCAGTATGCTTTCAAATGCATATATAGACGTGAGTATTWTGAATACTACAAACAAACACGCGCAACCCCTTACGGCAAACAATTGGCGAGGAGTCGCAGTCAGCGGCAATGAAAGGGTTAGTTTTTCCCATTGGACTCATTGAGCTGCCGACACTCATTCGATAGCTGCGCTCGTGCATAATGAATGTCCTTTTATGAATACTACGCTGCTCAAATGCATGTGTGCGCGGTAAATAATTGTCTACGTATGCATATGTGTGTGTTTGCGGTCGTTCATTGACTGCAACATAGCACAGTTGCAACTTATTGCAGGCGCACATTCGATGCGCTTCCGAGTTGACGTCTGCATAGTGCAGGGTGGCGCCTCAATCAAGCCACGGGCAAACGGGCGCGCTGCATACATCTCACATAAATGAATTTGTGTGTATGTATGTATGCCTAAAACTTGTTCGAAAGGCACTTTTGCACGRGCACGTTTCGCTCACACTGTGCTGCACCGCTGTGTGCTAAGCGCAAACAAACACACACACATATTCTTGCAACGTATTGTGCAAATGTCCTTTCATGTTTCCTGCGCGTGTTGCGCCGCTTGGCAAGTAGACCATATATTTGTTATTCAATGTTGTTGTTGTTGCTGCTGGCGCTTGAATAATGCAGATGCGCGCATTAATTTACATGAAAATTGTTTTTATTCCTTTTTGTGTCTGTATTTCTCTTGCCTTTCATATTCCATTATTCTATGCTTTTGCATTGCTTCCCGTAGTTGTAGTTGTATTTGCTTTGCCGTAGGGCAAAATCTGTGCAGTTGCAACACGAGTTGTTGTTGGCAGCTTAATTTGCTGCAAATGCCTGCCGCTGTGCTGTTGCGGCTACTGCTGCTGCTGCACGACGTTCAAAGGGGTTCACCCCTTCGCGTAACGTGTGCAAGTCCGCAACGTTTATGCACAAGCAACCCCCTTTTTTCTTCCGGTTCCTTCCTCTTTCGTRTGTATGCATGTATTTGGCTTTGCGCCAAAGGCGTGCTTCTTCTTCCAGCCGTGCTTCGCTTTTCCTCATGCATTTGCATACACACACGCAACAACACTTGGTGGCAACAACAGTTACTGCATACACACTTTGCTTTACTTTGCCAGCGCAGGCGAATTTCATTTCATTTTCGTTTGTACACAACTTTGCTTTGCCTCGTTGTCGTTTTTCTTGCTTCTTCTTTTTTGCACTGCTATGCGTAGTATTTCGTTTGCTGTTGCTGCATTTTTTCCACGAGCTTCTGAATTTTGCTTTCACGGCACTTTTTGCGGAATTTTCACTCAATACCAAATTTTCCAATTGCATACTTTTGGGGTTGTGGGCGGAGTTGGGGTGGAAAATGTTGAAATGGTTGGGCGTTTATTATGCTGATTTGGAATTTGGTGCACAAATGCTTATTGATTTTTATTTTCTGAGTTGGAAATAATTTTCGTGATGAACTATTTCGGCGATTTCTTTGCAGGCAAGGGGTAGTTTAGTGATTAAACAGTATTATCGCAAGGTTTCGTAAGACTTGGGAACAAGTATTCATTGCTTAAAATTAAGCTGTAAATAACTGATT